GGGCAGCACCAGGGAATCCACCCTCCATGTTCTAGACTCTCCCCTCCCCTCCCCCTGCACCCTGACCCTTCACATTCAGGACTTTTATTTGGCTAGAAGTCAGATTCCTGCAGCAGTAAATTGGGGTGCCTCCTAGTTGGATTTGAGAACAACAAGACACCAGGACCTCCGTGTGTGTCGGAGATAAGCTGCTACACAAAATGTTTAGTTGTTAGGTAGAGACAGGGGAGTTGTTACTCCCATATCTGCACAGCCCCCCGCCTGCCCTACAGGAGCTTGGGAAGGAAAATCAGGTGGTCATTAGCCACCCATAGAGGCCTTAGCTGGGCATGCTCCGATTCAGGCCCCCGAGCCAGGTGGGAGTTATACCTGGGCGTTCCAAACTAAGCTCAGACTAATGATCCCACCCAGGTGGGTTATTTCAGCCCATGGGGTCAACCAAGACCTTTAACCACGCCTCCCAGCCAGAGGTTTGAAATACCCTGGCCGCAGGAGGGCTGGCCTCTTTGATGACCCGCACCCGGTCATGGGCAGGTCTGAGAGGATTCTCTTATCTTACCCTGCTCCTGCACCCGCTTGGCTGTGCCTGGGTCTCCCTGGCCTCAGTTCACCATCTGGACACACAGTCCTCCGAGGTTGCCAATATTCAATTGTGAAGCCCAACGAGGCTTCCATGCAATTTGACATTCTTCCCTGAAATGGCGTGTAGTCTTTTGAGATGGTAAAACCTGAAACTTCTCCCGTCCTTCATAAAAACCCACTTTGGTTACAAACCAGGCTTCAACACGAAATCTCTCTCTCCTGCGAAGCCAAGAACCGAGGTATCACCCACCCGAGAAACCTGACATAGTGACCGTGTTTTACAGAAGCCCACCAGCAGGTGGGCTTGTGTTCCAAGGAACCCTTGTGTGGATGTGAACTGCACGCACCTTTTGGTTCGTGGCTCAAGGCTCAGCCCGTAGTGCCACCCACGGGTACGGGCTCCAAATGAATAAGGATGGCAGTCTTTGATAAGAAACGGAGGAAGTAAAAGAAATGGAGGGAGATAGAATTGTGGTTATGATCGTGAGGGCGGGGCAGAGGACGCATTAAAGAACTAGAGGAAGGTTGTGTGTTTCGTTGGTGCTATATTGCACCCTGACTGATTTGTCTCTTCCTTGTAGCCCTTTGACGGGGTGTCCAATTGACTACTGATGGGCTTTGGGTCTCCACTCTGCCCTCCCCCTTCAGGGGAGCAATGATACGAGAAGCGAGGGGGAAGAGAAGTGGACTTATGGTCTCCCTTACACCACCAGAGCTCCCTGATGTTACAAGGCTGGGTGAATTTCATCACACACAGGGGGCAAATCGGAGTCTACCTAAGTGAAGTCTTGTGCATTTTAGAGAATGGATGTATAAGAGACGGCTTGGCTTCAAAAGCATCACAGATTCTTTATCTTTCCATCCCATTTCTCTCCCCCTCGCCCCCCACGGCCCTTCTTCCAACAGTTGAAGCTCCCTAATCTGAGGAGAGGAGCCCCCGGTGACCCAGCAATGCTCTCAGCTGGTATTCCAAAGGTTGGCAGTCGTAACCCATCTCCCCCTCCGCTGGACAAGGACGTGGCAATCGTGGTCATAAGGATTGCAGCCTGGGTGGCCCTTTGGGGGGGGGGTTCTCCTGTATCCCGCGGCCTGGCAGTGTATTGGGTTTGGGAGACAAAAGAAGGGACACCTGTTCACTGTTGTCTAAAGTAGCTCACCGGTTCTGTTCCCCACTGGCGCTCAGAACAACCACAATTACCTACCTCTTACCTGGGAGCTCACCTTCCTT